AGTTGCAGAGTTGCCACCAAAACTTTTCATGTTTACTAGACCCTAATGAACACTTTTAGACTGGTGGCTTGCTTTCAGCACGAAATTCCCACGGGACTTTTGACATTTGCTCCCAGACTATTTACTCTCTGCAGAGACGTTACATAGAATTTGCATAACTGCGTTCGCTATAAAAGTGGATACAATTTGTATTTTACGTCAGTTTTTGCGGAATAAACAGTTTATACACTTTGCGTTAGGTCAACTCATGTTACATTTCGCAGCAGACTGACGGCCTTCTTTATTCTATTGAACGAGATTTGGGTAAATAGTGTTCATTGTTAGCAATTAATATCCGTTGTCGCTGGCAAGACAATGAATTCAAATTTTCAGTCAGTCCTGACACAGTTACACACGCAAATTGAACCGCGGGAGCTGGAAAAATTTCACAGTTTGCAAGTTCGATCGGTTAAGTGTCCACTCTAAAGCTACTTTTACTCTGTAATTTGTGTTCGAACAAATTCATGCAGAGTATGGAAAATGTATGTAAGGAAGCGGACTAAGTGCTGCGGGTTCAGGTGCACGATATCTTTCCTGCGTGTTCGTGATGTCGCGGTATAACGCAAAGAACGTCGTCTTTACACTTCATGATTGGAAAAAGGAAGACAAAAAATAAATGGAATAGAAAGAAGATCGAAAATAGAGCTCAAGCCAATTTAAATATAAGCCTTTCTCCCTCCCTCAAAATCCAGAGCACTGACATCGAATTGAAAAACCAAAAAAAGATAACCATCTAAATGTATGTGTGATGGAAATGCTGTGGATACGCTGTAACTTAACAACATAAATGGACCCAGTAAATTAGGAGTGAAAGAAAACTATTCTATGAAACAATCGACACAAAAGAAGAGAATATTAAATGGTCTTAAATATGAAAAGGTTTTCCTCACCTTGGATGATAATTATGCAGATATCTAAGCGAACCAATTAAATGACTCGAAATACAGCAGACAGTCGGTTAACCAATCATTGTTATCGTTGATATTGCAGAGGGCGCCCTTATAACTGTTGTTTGCTGAACTACCTTAAAAAATATCTCACATTTAACCTGCCACAAAACAAACATTACGTTCTCCTCGTCCATCGGAGAAAAAAACAAAACTACTGCGATGGTGCCCGTTATAGTGTTTCTGTACGTTACATTAAGCGTTTTAATTACTTCAGATAATCTTTTGGTGATAGCAGCCGTTTATTCGACGCGAACTTTACGGAAAGTCACCAATTATTCCCTGGTTTCGTTGGCGTTTGCCGATCTTCTTGTTGGTTGTGTTGTTTTACCTGTCAGGGCGGTCGAAGCTTGGGCTTTCCACTGGTCCAGAAACATTCTTTGGTGTCAATTTTCACTGAGTCTTACACTACTCAGTTTGTCCGCGTCGGTGTTAAACCTCCTCATTGTTACAATCGAACGATACCTCGCCATAATTCTTCCCTTCACCTACGCAAGTAAAATCACCACGCGAAGGAACTTTTACGTAATAATGCTAGTCTGGGTTGCTGCGTTTTTGGTTTCGTTTTTGCCGTTCGTTGCCTTGAAAAGCACGACAGCTCAAGAACGTGAACAACAGCATAAAGTTTGCCGTTTTGCGGACACCCTGAGCTCCGAATACTTGGTATTTTTTTCTGCCACTGTTGTTTTTATCCCAACACTGTGTATCAGTTTAGCTTACCTGAGAATTTACTTCGCTGCAATCAAGCTGAGAGCAAGGCTGAAATCTCTACAAGTTCAACAGGAGGGAGAAGATAATATAGCATCAGTACTGAAAGAGTCCAAAACCGCTAAAACGATAGGTGAGTTTTCCAGCTAGGAGCTCGAAAATTTACATACATTTCTCATGATCATTTAGTTCTTTATCAAAATAACAGAGTAGATTTTTAACGGTTTAAGTTAGCGTAACTCCCCCATGCATGGTCGGAGATATTGCTAATTTCAAATTAATTGATGGTACTTTTTGTTCACGAAATTATTCAAGTCAGTAGCGTTTCAGTTCGCTCTTTCCCGGCGAGACTATCGAGAATTCAAAGAAATTTGATCGGAAATGTAATCGCAAATTAAATTCAGGAATAACTAAAGATGATACATCTTAAATGTAACTAGCGAAAAAGAAACCTTCCCACGTGTTTCTAAATAAATCTATTGGCAATTCCCTTTGAAGTTGATAATTTCCGATATCAAGTCGTTTAATCATTTTCCCAAGGTCGACAAACTTGGGGGTTTCATTAAAAACAGGCGAATTTACATGTAAATGATGAAGTATACAATTCTTGTTAAATTAGCCGTTTGTCTGTCTTATAGTCTCTTATATTTTACAGCGTAACTGCCTCATTTAGGGAACCTTAACCGAAAAGTGAAAGCATATATACTTCAGCGGGGCGCGCGCTTTATACAGTTAAAGATCGCTGGCCTTTTATTTGGAGCTAGAATAAGCTGAGCAAGGCTAACTATCGGGTCTGTGAAGTCTGAAAGCCCAGCCGGCGACAAATGAGTTCAATTAGGATTCGAAAGACTCGCATTGTTCCGATCTTGTGTTCCGATCTCGTGTTCCATTGAGTTCTCGAGTCGACCACGCGAGCCTATTTTTCATATTCCATTTTCATCGAAAACATCGAAAATTTCGTTTACACAAAACTACTTTCATCGATTCGTAAAGCATACATTTGTCAACAGAAAACTTCGCACCTTTGCCAGTAGAAAGAACGATAACATTAAGAAATAACTGCTAATGGCGTCGCTATATCAAAAACGTAAAAAAAAAAATCGGTCACTAAAGTAAAGGTTTCGTTGAAATTGATTTATTTTAAACTTACCAAAACGTTTTGAGTATAATCTTTCGTTTCACACACGGAATAGTAATGGCAGTATTTTTCAACTGAGTTATTGACACTTTTTTTCATAATTTTAACAAAAAGCCTAATCAAAGGAAGAAACACAAACGGACTCATTAGAATTGAAATGAAATTTTGAGTTGGCTCATAAGGTATCAATTCTTCTGGTAACGGAAGTAGAGGCCAGAACAGAATAGCAGAAGGTTATGAACTTTTATACTGATTATCTTAAAGACGTTTCTTCTGCGAGTCGATATTAAATAAACAATTGATAGATTTTCAGGGCTTCGTGCATACAACCACAAGCTGAAAAGCTGCGCGTTTTGTACCATTTACTTATTCATTGTTTAGCTTTCTGTCTAATTAGTTAACATGCGATACAGCCTAAATTAAAAGCCATTCGGCTCAATCAGTAGTGTTTGTTTATGCTTAATTATTTCGGGCTACATCATACACGCAAAGTAAATATCCCTCTAGATGTGGAGACTTCTGTGCCGAGTGAGAAATCACAATTGAGTGCTCAAGGTTGATTTTAGTTTGGTGCGAGCAAGTATTGCTCTCCATCAGTAGATTTCATTAGTCAGAACCGACTGAAGGGTCCTGACCAAAGTATGAAGACATGATTGATCGTCGCAGCTATATACACAACTTAAGCAGCTGTGAAATTAAAGCCTGAACTGTCATATATTCACTGCTTAAAATTTGTCTCAATGCTACTTAAGTTGTGTATATAACTGCAATGATCAATCGTGTCTTCATATCATTCTCCGCAGTTCATATATAGTCACTTGAAACCAATAAAGTGGACGAGTGACTGAAAGTACCAAACGAAGTGTGCGTAATTCTCTTTCAAAGCTATATAGTTAAATAAAAAACAACCCATTCACTAGTCAATTTTAAGCCTATATAAGTGCATATTTTTACCAATAAACAAATTGAGCTCCCTTGTATCTCTTAACTTGTCTCCTAGTAAATACCAAAAGAAGTGAAAACACACGTTATTTTAATTTATCCTTTTGAGCAGTAACCGATAAAAGTTTTTTCTTCCAATATATTTCTGCCTAATTGAACCAAGATCTATATTTTGTTTTTTTATCATATATAAAATTCTCTTGTTGGTTTTAAGGGCCACGCTGTTTTCTTCTTAAATTAGACATGAACTGGTGTATAAAAAAGAAGAACTTCTAACAAGGAGTTTCAAAACTCAGAGGGTGTTTCCATGACACCGAGGCGACGTTCATACCGGTGTGACTTCACCCCCGGAGTTCACCCCGGTTCCCTCCTTTGGCTCTGTACTTATTTACATGATACAGCACCACAAGAATGTCATACCGGAGCGAGGTTCACCCCGGTAGCTGTACCGGAGCGGGAGTTTTATTCCGATACGAAAATTCATTCCAGCACCATGTAAACGCAGTATGATTGTTTCATATCGCTTGA